AAGAGATTGAAAGTTTTGACTAAAGTTAAAAAGTAATGGTTTGATTATAAAAATCTTCAAAAAAAAACCCACATGCTGTTATGCCCAAGAAACCTCAATGGAGTCCCTCCAGTGTGCCTATTTTCATTGTTGCAAGAAAGCAATTACCTTTTGGTTAAGTTAGTTAGTTACAGGAAACGATAAGGAAAAACAGACAAATTTTTTGATAAAAACTGTTAAATGAGTTTAGCTTTAAAAATGTTTTCTTGTGTTTGGTCTCTATGTTGAACATATGAAATGTAAATTTGAAATTATTACATATTTCTAACTATCAAATAAAATGTATACATATATGTATGATTGGTGAGTTGAGTAGTTAACACATCAGCCTAACTTTTGTACTTAACTTTTTATTATTGTAGACTTTATTGTTACATTGTATTTTTTATGCCCCCGCAGAGTGGGAGCATATAGCGTTGCACTTGTCCGTCCGAGTGTCCGTCCGTCTGTCCGTCCGTCCGTCGGGCCTGTCCGTACGTACCGAAATCTTGTGAACGCAACTCCTCTTAAAAAACCGGATGGCAGATTTGCTAAAACTTCCCAGGGATTGACCAACCTTAATGTGTAGATGGTAGTAAAGGAAGGAATTTTTGCTGCGACCAAATTTAACAGAATTATGGCCCTTTGTTGATTTTTTCACTATATACTATGTAGAAATTTTGTGAACGCAACTCCTCTTAAACCGGATGGCAGATTTTGCTTAAACTTCCAGGGATGAACAACCTTAATGTGTAGATGGTAGTAAAGGACGGAATTTTTGCTGCACCAAATTTAAGAGAATTATGGCCCTTTGTTGATTTTTTCACTATATACTATGTAGAAATTTTGTGAACGCAACTCCTCTTAAACCGGATGGCAGATTTTGCTTAAACTTCCATAAGATTGACAGAACAGTGGCGTGTGGGGGCATCCGTGTCCTATGGACACATTTCTAGTTTTTACTTTCAATGCATGATTTGTATATTTGCCAATTGATTGATAGTCAATGATTGAAAAATAAATTATACCTATATGAACTTGATGTTGCCTTAATTATCTACATGTATACAGGTATATGTAAATTAGTTGGTGAAATGTTTTATATGGGTTATTCTCATGGTTACTAGATTGAAGTAATGTACTAGGACGGAAAAGGGAACTTCCGGATTGAACACATTGATAAACCAAAAATGAAACTGTAGTTGTCTCCCTTTCCTTTTAAGTAAGGGATCAAGGCTCAGTTTTTCTCTGAAATGGGAGATTTAAATATTCCTCATTTCCCAACTAAGCACACTTAGTTAATGGTGTTTCCACGGAAAAAAATCTTAATTCATAATTAAAATGACTTCTAGATACGTAACTGTATTTCTTTGTAATTCATATCATTTGGCCATTTGCACACTTATTATCATTGAGTAAAGGAAAATTTTCAAAAAATGTCCATTTTCGTGTAGAATTATAAGTGAATAACAAATATGGAATTGTTTATTGAAATTGGTAAAATAAGACAAGTAGACATTGATACTCGGTGATCGGCTGTAATTTTTTTTTATGATTTTTTTCTTTACTTAATTATAGTAAAATATGTATTTATACGTTATGTATATTTTTACATTAAGACCTTTAAGATAAATCACAAGTATAATTCTTGTTTTCATAAACGATAAAAACTTGAGCCAAAGTTTATCATCTACCTTTCCTTTGATTCTTTTCTGAAAATGTTTACTTATTTCACTAAAACACTATACATACCTACAAAAAATATGACAGTGTACAAATAAGGTCAATTTGTCAACTTAAGTTAGTTTTTCTGGTTTTAACTAAATGGACATGTCAAAATAATTGTCATATCAACATCTTGGTATTCGCTGGACGCCAGTGAACAATACTGATACATAAAACACACCGTGATATAAAATTAAAGCATTGTTTGACGGAAAATATGGCAATTTGTAATATAAGCTGTACCAAATTATTATGCTTATTAGTTTTTATTCTTGTGCAGATTGATTTTGTCCAATCTTTAAGGAAATGTAAGTACTTTTCTCACATTTTAATGCAAATTAAACATCATTGTAAAACGAAGGTATCAACTTTTAATTTCATATAAATATAATCATCAGAATGCATTTCTTTCGTAAACGGTTGTTGATTAATGTAGGAATTTTCTATATCTTCTGTAACGGAAAGACCGCAGGTATCCAATGTGGATTGTTTTCACGTTATGTGGCACGTTAGCAAATTGATACATTATTGTTGTACATCAGCCGACATATATAACGGAATAAATATTGATAGAGTTTAAATGTAATATAAATAAACGTACACGATGACTTACATACATATTTATAAGAATTTACTAAGTTAACCTCGCAAACAACAACATATCTATTTTAACATACTTAGTTACTTACTAATGCTTTATAAGACATTCACGATAAAGTGTATTTTTTTCCAAAAATATATTCAAATTCTTACATATGTATACCTCAAAAAACGAACTCATTTTCCCTTCTTTAATTAGAAAGGCCAAACGTGACTTTACAAGGTTTAAATAATGGTTAATAGCCAGACTGAAAAAATAGCGCTGAATGTGACATTACGTTTTTGGCATAAAAGTAGCAAAATGTAACTTTTAGATAGTCATGATACAAACAACAAAAAATAAAAGGATTTTTAGAAATAAAAATAAAAGTTTTTCTTTTTGGTCTTTAACGTTAAAGTTTACTTTTCCGTAATTTTTTTGTAATTTAGTCATGTTACAAGTATGTTATAATCCTATTTTTGTTTGTTAATTTCTATTTGATGTCTCTTTTAGAACACGATTTTTTTTCCAATTTACATGAAATGGTCCAACTTTTTTTTAAAAATATCTATTTTTGAAAACGTTATTCTTTGACAAATATTGTGTTTTTTTTTCTACCTTTTTTAATGTCACTTTAAGAACATGATATTGTTTCCAGTTTACATGGAAGATGACTGTACAGGTTACATTGACATGGAATCGGCTGCTATTCCTGCCGGGAGATTATCCGTCACGCGCCGGTCCAAATACCGTAGCAAATTAAAATGTCATGTAACGATTAAGGCCCCACTTGACAGGAGGATTGTTGTCGTTTTCAGGTCGGTTATCATTTTTGTTGCATAATTTTAGCATTAAAATTCTAAGAATTTAATTAGGTTTAAGATCCGACCAATTTATGCATTTTCCACCTAGAAATAGGCCATATAAATGTTTTATTTTAAAACTTGATATTTTTATCAAATAATGTGACATGCATTTTGCAATTATGAAATAAATTATGAGAATATATGATTTCAAAAAGTTTCCTTGTCAGATACATAACATGAAATAGTTTCATACTGTGTAAATATAACAAAGGTGTGCAGCTTTAAAGTGAATCTTTTAATAGTACTGATTTGTTGTTTCGTCTTGCGCACGAAATTGTACTTGTGAATATTTCGAAGTTATAAAGTATATGTAGATAATGATACTGTAGGTATATCAGTACATGAGATCTATGGACGGAACGTCCCCTCTGTGCTTCCGTACACATCTGTTGAAATGTGTAAATTACAACGATATAAAAAGGATGACTTTCGTGTTACCCCAAAATAATTTTAAATTCGTTATTACGTGGAAAAACACTGTTGTATATTTTGCATTCTTGATTTCAGATTTCGCTCTCATTTAGTTTAGCTGTATACAAGTATATATATTTCAGAGAAATGGACATTGAGTGGGAACCAAACTGTGGTGATGATTTTATGAGTTTACATGACGGTCATAATATGACAGCAAGGGTGTTACGAGGTCTGGTATTTGTAATAATTTCAGATCTACCAAACAACTAAATAAAAAAGACAGAAAAATGTTGGAGAGATCGCGTTCTAAAGAAAATTAATATCCTGAACGAAATGTGTTTTTACTTTTTTTTGCGCTCTAAAATGTAAAAAATGAAAATTCCTCAGCGACGCATTATTTTGCTTTGAAATGTCTAACGTATAAAATATTGTCAAATTTTGTCATATTTTTTTACATTTTTTTCTAATCGGCTGACAAAATTTCTCCTTAGCTTGTCTCGCGAGGACCTTTCTCATTAAAAAATCATTTTTGATCTTTTTTATTCTAGTTTACTTTAAAATGTATACATGTACGGTCTGCTATATACGGTGGCACAAAGGGGCCATCAAAAATGTTTTATCTACCGCGATTGCTACTATGTGCGCACGTGATAGCTACAAGCTATTGCGTGCGCACACGATAGCTATTACGTGCACCAGTGATTGACCAACGTAGGGACTATTGCGTGCGCACGTATAGTAGCTATATCGCGTGCGCACGTGCTATATATATATTTCTGATGTCCCCTCTATACTTCCTTAGCTTTTAGGCCATTGCAAATTTTCTTCTTAAATTTGTTACATGTATTAAAATGGAACGAAAATAAACAGCATTTAAAATAGTCTAACATTTCTAGGAACACATCCTCAAATATGTGGTCATATAATACCTCCCGGAGACTACACCACCACTGGTAACCTCCTGACAGTGGGTTTCCAAAGTGATGGCTACAAACAAAACAATGGCTTCGAGATTGTGTTTACATCTTTTCACACAGGTACGAACACATCAAATCTTCTTGCAACCTTTTAAAGATATTAGCACTGTTTACTATATAGTATTTTGTTTTGTTTCCGTTTTAGCAGCATCATGAGCAATCTTATTAAAATGCTTATTTTTTCCACTTATTGTTTTTTATTATTTCCACCAGTCGTTGTGTCCGACTATAAAATATAACCCATATCTAAAAAGAGTTTTGGTTGACATTATGTTGTGAATGTATTTACATATAGTCTTAAATCTTACATTGAATGTTGTATTTTATCCTTTATGACTTAATTTCTTCTTTGTGCGCTAGGATTTGGTCAGTGCTTCGTGTTTCAGCTATTTTTAATCAATTTCACTATTTACTAGTTGTTTCTTTCAATTTCATAGCCGAGTCTTGTTTTGTGGACGAATTACGGTGTAGCAATAAGCGATGCATAGCTTCCTCATTACATTGTAACAATTTCAACAACTGTGGCGATGATTCTGATGAGTGTGAGGTATTAATATGTTTATAATCTATTGATCTAAACATATCTAGTTATATATCTAGTTGTATGTCTTAGTTATGTCAAGTTATATGTCTATTTTTATATGTCTAGTTATACATCAATTTATATGTCTAGCTATACATGTCTATTTTTTACATTTCCATATCAATGTTAATTTTACTTCTGCTGATATATCATTCATTGACGTTTTTTCGTGTTTAACCAGGTAGATTCAGAAGTTGTTATAGCAATTACATTGAGCGTGTTTCTGTTGACTGTTGTTGGTGTTGGTTCTATACTTTTATACAGAAAAAGGAAAAGACAACTCACTCATAAAGTAAGTAAATATTGATAATGCAGCTCAAAAAATGTCACATAAGAATGTTTCCCATCTAAAATGGGTACCTGTAGAAAAAGGGGTCGTTACAGCTCTTGTCCGCGATTTTAATAGATGTACATTCAGCAAAGTCCTGAGCTTTCTTGTAGCTCAGTCGTATCAATAATTTGGTCAGACATAGTTTCAATTAAGGCTATATAAAATAAATTCCCAGATTCTCATCCCCGCCCGCCCGAAGAAAGAAAAAAATTAGTTTATATCTAGAACATTTGACTACCATGTACAAATGCCAGACAAAGTTTCAATTATTAAACTTCTGTACAATGTATATAGATTCTAACCAATAAAAAGCAAATTTTTAATTTATCATAAATTCAGAGATGTAGATGTATCTATGTCTCTGATAAATTCAAAGAAACAGTATCATCGTATATTACAATAATTTTGTTTGCAGAGGCAGCAAGACCTAAAAGCAGCGATTGTTAAGGCATCTCAGTTAAGCAAGGACCTTGAATCTGTGGAAATTCATCCTTGTGAGGCATGTTCACTAGAGATCGTTTCTAAGGAGAAGCAGAAATTGTATGCCCGGAAGTTGCAAGAAAACGACAACGAGGCTTACCAGGAGAGCTATGATGCGAGAATGCACAAAGAGGTGCTTGGGACGCGATTATCTGACAATTTCTACAGGGCTTCCATATAGTCTTCTCAATCAAGAAATATGCCGACAAATTATACGATTTAATTAATGATCTTATGTCTGTTATATCGAACTTATATAGCTGTTCGCTTTTGTTACATTCATTTTTTTCCTGCTTTATCACTTGTACAGACGATCCATTGAAATGTTGTGCGTACCTTTTCTGATACTTGAAGTGTCATTGAAGCTGCATTCTTCTATAACAGAATTGAGAAATCAAAGGCCTAAGAATTATTTTTTTCGTTTTTTAGAAAATGCAAATACGAGTTTTATAACGTTTGAATGATGATTTTAGAGCATGTTAGATGCTTAATTTAGCAAATGAGTAAGTTTTTGTAAACTCTTACAAGACAACAAAAATAAAAAGCTTTTAAGAAATGAAAAAATAGCATTTCTAAGGCATAATGAGCCTTTTAATATACGTCTTCAGTTTATGTATAAACGCTTTACATGCTATTGTTAATACCTATATATAACCACATTCATAACTACCTTTAACTAAAATTTTGTGATTTCTGACAGAATTTATGTACTTTTTGCGAAGAAAAAGTACCTAATTCTTTATTTTTAATTTTCACTTCATGTTTCTTTCAAAATTCAAAAACGGTTTCTATTTTTTCATAGAAATTAGAAAAAAATCTGGAGGCATGCTGCTTTAATGGATAAATTATAGTTATGGAAATATATTCTGGCAAAAGCACAATGTGCATGTTTTTTTAGCAAATAGATAAAGTTAGTAGAAAAAAGGTATTATTGTTCCTTTTTCCAATGTCTCTGGTGGAATTATTCAACTAAAATTGAAGGTGAAAAGGACATGGACCAGCCTATACACCCATGCAGTCCGGTCCAATCAGGCCCAGTACTTTTTTAGAATATTGATATTGAAATCACTGAATCCTTCATACACATATAGTAGTGAGAGGTAAAGGTAATGGGAATAAGTAGTTCATTACATTTACTATAAGAAAATAAAAAAAGAAAGAAAAACAAATGGAGTGAACCACTTTTACACACCAATCATGTAAGTTCTATTCTTATCCAATAGAATGACTGGGATATCAATGATTTGGTTTTATTTTGCCGCCAAAATTGCCTGTAATATGTCTAACTCACAATGCGGTGGGGATGTAGTGTGGACTTTACTATTAGAGTTTCCTTTAGGGCAAACCAAATTACAAGGGATATCCTAAAATTTAAGTCCCACTATTCCCAGGGGTAGAGAACAAGATTTATACTGACTGCTGTTGTTTTATCAAGTGTTAGAACCTTAAAGATCCTGTAACTCAAATTTCTTTAAGTTTTTTTAACATAAATATAATGCTCAAATGAAGATTTATCACTGTTGTTAGTTCCAAAAAGCATTTTTTTTGTTAAGAAATTACCGAATTTAAATTTCATGTAAATAAAGGGAGGTAATTAGAGATTATTTTCTATAAAGTCAAAGCTGTTTTTTTAATAAGAAATGAATGCATATACTTTAATGATTACATATAATGTAATACACTTAATATATTAAACATCTGCAGTTCATATTTAACATATTCTTGGATGTTTGAAAATTGTTATAGAAGAATAATTTTATACATATATAAACTTTATTGTCGTTTTGTTACATCTTTAAATACAACATACAGGATGAACAAGAAAAAGGCATTTTCAATAAAAGGAAATAATAACAAAACTTATGAGATAATAACAATTTATACTATGTGTATAGGAACACACGCACGCCTCTCCGTGGTAACTCGCGCCTCTCCTTGGCAAGTAGCTTAAGGTCTTCAGCGTACCCGTTTATATACTATGACACGACTTAAATGCCGCATCAGATGAAAAACAAAAATGTTAAATAGCGGCTTATAAAGTTTTGGAAGCCAGAACTACTTGGTAACCTGATCATTTGAAGCCACTTCTGAGTAGATGTATATATAATACAGTGTATCTCACCAGGATCTCACTGTATTGCGTTTTAATACGCATATCCAACAATAATATGAATTTATTGATGTCATACCGGTATCTTTAGAATTTATATTACGAGAATTCGAACTGAATTAAGATTTTCAGAGTATATTCAAGCGTATTTTAGAATCATCGTCGTTTAATCTACAACTTGACCATTGTCCATTTCTGGTGTCAATGATGTCGACAGAGAACTTGTATATCATTGTAAAAGAATCCAAAGACATTGCCACTTTCTGATTTACTTTGAAGAATTACGGTTAATATTTGGTTGTCTATTTTTATACACATGACTTTTTTCCATAAACAGTGATTTGTAAGTCCATAGGGCAGTGGGACTTGTTTGTGCTGTATTTGTTTATTTGTTTTGTATTGTATCAGAGACATATAATGGTTGAATGGTACATGTATATATTGTCTCTGACTATATACATGTACCGCAAGTCACTATAAATATTTCTTTTCTTCTATCTAGTATTATGCCCCTTTAAACGGGAATTGAAATTAATTCTAAGTAATTTGTCATGTTTAGTTCAGTTTTAGTAATTAAAGTGTATTAAAAGTCACGAAATCAATTTAGAAACAAACCAATTGCTGTATATATAATAAGCTTCCTTATAAAAAGAAACACATACAGAAAGATTTGCCACCGGATTGGTTCTTGTATTTTATCAATTAAACACCGTCAAAGAACTGACATCTTTTTTAGCACTTACACTGCGGGATAGACACGTTACTAAAGACCAAGTCTTAGCCTCTTGTCTATGTTAGCAGTATAGACTCGAACTTGCCTGTGCGCAATCCTTGCAGTATTATCAGACTCTTAAGTGTAGGCTTGTCAATATAATATTGATATTGTGATCCGTGAAATCGGTGTTAAATTATATATTTCAAGACAGGGCAAATCCACCAACCAATCAGCAGTGTGAAGGTTAAATGAAAATATATGCTGTATGTTAACGTTAAATCTGACTTAAGATAATCTACTTATTTCTTAGCGTAAATTTAGGAGCTGACTTTAATCAGATTGCATTAACGTTTTTATATCAGTCTCCCAGAATCGCAGTCTTGTGTATGAGTGCTTAAACACTTGGCATTATTCTGCAAAATATAAAATGACCAATACTCTTCTGATTGACTCGCCAGTTGCAAGTATAAAAACACGCAAGCACACACATCATTTACCTACATATACATATATCATTTTGCAATTACAGTGTACAGATAACGATGGACAAAAGTTTTCAACAAATGTCATCATAAAATAGAGAATATTGAATAAGTGCAGGTTCAATATTGAATCTATTAAACAACTTGAATAAAATTATATTATTTATGTTACTCGAATCTCCGCCACTGTGTGATATTCTGCATTTTAATCCTTAAACATAACTTGAAATATATATATAATCAGGAATTATACCTCTGTATCCTGTAACAATATCTAGTTGTGTCCTTAATTAATTTCATTAGTTGTATTTGCTTGATATTTCTCAATATATTTCTGTACTATTTATTCTAAAATAAATCAAATATACTCCGTCTCTCTTTAATTATCCACCAAGGTTCTTCTGCACCGATTCTTCCTGAATATATTCTCGATAGAGACGGTGGGCTATGATTTTTAATATTTTTATGTCGAAAAGAATTCAATTCTTTTATCATGGTTTTTAGATCGTTACGTAAACAACAGCATTTGAGATTCTTGTACGGGGGAACTATTGCAGGTAAGTCGTGCGTGTTTTTACATTTGTACAATTCTTGAAGAATCTTCATAACACAATCTTTCAGATCACTTTCATCTGTATTTTCGCATTCCTCGTGATGATAAATCATCATAATTTTTATCTGATAAGATGAATAGCCAACATTTTCATTTTTTAGCTCTAAATTGTATTCCAGTATTTTGTCATCCCCATCTCCATTTATGAGAAATTTCAGTATTCTGAATACTTTTACATGTTTTGGTGATAAAACGTTCTTAATGAAGTGTAGTTCAGTGTCTGTGAATGTATATCCTAATGCAGTATTTATCCTGAGACAGTCGCCTCGCTTCAATACTTCTTCGCGGAAGGATTTAGGATTGACATTATTTACTATTTTATTGAACTCGTTTCTGTTTATATCACCACTGGTAACATATCTGATGGCTGGAACAAGATCAACATAAATGGGTTTTTCAGATGTACGAAATTTACTAGTAGGTTCCTTTTTGTAAATAAACTGAGACATAAATGCTGGACCGTGCTGTCCTAAATATTTGTCAAAGTATAGTTCCCTCTTAGAATGCTCATCAGGGGAATTGTATTTCAAAGTGCCATCAAATGTCTCAAGTAAACTAGAAATGGAATGATGATCCTCTAATCTGCGAACAATGAAGATGATGTCAAATTCATCAGGAAATATAGTCTGTGTCCCCTCATAAAAGCTTCCGACTTTGATTAAATCATTTTTGTTTGTTACATTATCGAAATCTATATTGATATTTTCAGTCTTTAACAAATCATTATCCGCATTTTTGTCATATTGTAGTTGTTCTTGTAGACCTTCTTTATCCCTAAAGTTTACATCATCCTTCATAAGATTTTGTTGAATATATCCAACCATTTTTTCTACAAGAGTTTCTATTCCCGTCTTGATAAACTCAACTTCTTCATCCGATGCTTGGAAAACACATTTATCTTCATACATTTCGTTTAAATATGATTCAAGGTAGTCTGTTCTTGTTTTTGTGAAGCAAGTTCCCATCTTTGCATTGATTATGTAATTATTCTTATCTAAAATTCAAATGAATGTAAATCTTACAATTGCGTCTAATACTGTATTGAATTATTTTTGCTTGTGATATAACAGGTTAATTCAGAAAAAGAGTAGAAACTGATAAAAGACTCGGTTTGATCGATCCGTTAATTAGAGATGACGAATGCTGAAATATTTTTGTATGTTTATATGCATTCCAAGCTTAGTGAGGGTCCATCCGCCATTTCCTGAAGGCGCTGAAAGTACGGACCCTGGACATGTCGCCATTCATATCCTTCAACGTTATAATCTGCAAAAATCTGACCTATTAATTTTGAATTCAGTAATTCATTGAATGAAACTAAACATATTTGCATACTTTCACTAAAAATATTGAGTCATCTGTCTACATTTACGATAATGGAAATATCAAACTTATTTTGGAATTCTGTTACACATAATATTTTATCGCATGACCGCCACAACTTTCCCTTGAAGATCGGCGTTCTCTAAATTTCGGTATTGGAAAACTTTGGGGTGCTCTAAATGAGGTATCAGTACGCTTTGGGGTGCTCTAAATGAAGTATCAGTACACTT